CTTCACACACATTTGGAAATCGGCGCTTCACCCTTAGCTGTCAAACAGTGCATAACAGTATGTTTAACTATGGATTAAAATTAAAATGGCTGAATAACTTTTACATGAAGGTATTTTTCAGAATAAAGAAGCACTTATAAAGAAGTATATATGTGAATTGATCTCTCTCTCTCTCTCTTAGCTGCAGAACTGTAGCTCTCCAAAAAAAAAAAAAAAAAAAGAAAAAAGACAGACATGAGAGCAACAGTGCCACCCATAGAAAAATCTGTGTATTTATTGCGCATAACAAATTGCGCTCGGTTCTGGATTTACTTCTCCAAATTCTTGCCTCAACTGCACAAAAGCTCGATTTCATAAAAATCCTTTGACGTCTTTCAACTACTCTTGTAGCTGACATCTTTACGAAGCGCGTTTCGCCGAATTGTCTAGCCACCCAAAATAGCAGTATTAACAGGCGAAATTTTGGATGGTCTTAATTTCTGGCCCAGTAGGGCTATTAACAACGATTATGGGAAATGTTTTGATGTGGGAATAGTGCAAAAATGTGTTAGGAACACACGGTCAGTAATATTTTGAGTTTGCAGTTTAAAAATACGAAGAAATAAATCGAGGAACAGCACACTTTTTTGTACGAAATAAATATACAGTTTTTTTCTATGGGTGGAACTGTAGCTCTCCGGTCTGTCATTTTTTTTTCGGAGAGCTACAGTCCCGCAGCTCTCTCTCTCCTAAAAAAAATATATACGTGTATGTAGAATACATTTTAGTGTTAAAACTACTTACTATGAGTAAAATTTAAGCATTTGCAAATTGCTCAGAAAATAAATATATATCATCTTTTGTTATACATACATGTAATATATAGACATCGCTATAAATCGCTCTACCTAACAATGTGTTTAATGTCGCTTTGAGATTGATTATGTGATATCAAGTTAAATACATCAGCAGAATTATAAATGAATGCATGTACTAAATAGTAACAATATTATTCATTAGAAATGTCCTAATTAAATTTCATATAATTTGATTGGGGGGGGGGGGGGTAACACTTGGAAATCCAATTTTTTTTCTTGTTCGAGTCGACAAAAAATACTTCCGTGTTTACAACACCACGACTTTGACGTCGTTTTCTGCGCATTGTGACGTCAAAAGATAAGGGCCCTTTTCTCATGACGGCAGTCATATATATATATATATATATATATATATATATATATATATATATATATATATATATGTGTGTGTGTGTGTGTGTGTGTGTGAGGGGGTGTGTGTGTGTGTGTATGTATGTATATATATATATAATCCTCTGCATTATAAAGCATTCAGTAATACTTCTGGGAAGCAACCTGTCATACTGACTTGAAAGCCTTTCATAGTAAAACTTGATAAGCAGCTTATCAAATACTTAGTCAATATGTATAAACGACTTTAATAAAATGAAACTTGTACGTGCACAGTTTGAAGGCTATAACAAAAACCAATCAAATTTACATGTACATGTAGCTACCATTCGTTTCCTTCAAACCTATTCCCTTATCATTATTCATGTTCTCAGAAATGAAAGTAATATTATTCTAACTAACCAGGATCAAACTAAAATAAAATCATATAACATGATATTTTACATGGCAGCTATAGTAAAGTAAATCAGACAATGAAAATAAGTGGTTACCGTCCTGATATTAAGCTTTATTGTTAGACTGAAGAAATAGCATAGTATAGAAAATAAAAAAAATGAAGAATGTAGAATGAAAGTTTACTTTTAAAAGAAACATTGATATTCATAAAACAATTTCATGATGTCCGGAATCTTCATAATCTATAAACTAGGTCAAGGATACCATTTATTATTCTCTTTAGCTGGTTTTTATTTTTAGGGAAAACAAATTCAATTTTGAAGACAACTATTGCGTAGACCATTGCTATCTTTTTCATATGGATTTTTTAAATATATCTGTTGTCTCTTGCATTTTTATGAAATATTGCAGTTGTCCCTCTTTGATCAGACTTCCTGGAGAAGATTTAAATAAGCTTATAATCTAGATGACACACTATATAGTCATGTATTTTATACTGTATTTTTTTGTTATAATATTGAGTTTCTTTAGTTTTCTTAATGCTTCATGGATGAATGATTCTATGCTATATTTTGTAGCTCGTACACTAAAGGTTTGTTGAAAATGCATGTTTATGTCAAGGTTGATTAAGATAAATATATCGGAATCACTGTTGTACATGTGTACCGCGATAGATAATAACAAATATAATACTTAGTAATTGAAAAGCAAACACACTATAAATGCATTTCAAACACTCTTTAATTGCTTTCCATTACAATTATCTCTCTATTCGGTCAGACCCAATTGATTGATTTTTATTAAATATAAAAAAGCTGAAAGTGTTTTTTCTGGAATAAGTCATTATTAATGCATGATGTCATTAATTCCCTTTTGTTCTTTTTTTACGAAGAAAAAGTATTACGAAATTCACAATATTTATCTATAATTTTAAGGCACTTGACATTTGTTATGTCCGATGTATTCTGCAGAATACAGAATTGTGGATGGTTTCTTTTTTTAAAAAAAAAGTTTGAATTATTAAGTAACTTGAGCTGCTCATGGACGTAAGATGCTTAATGAGAGGGACGTCTCAAAGTGTACATTATGCTGAATTAGGAAAGAAATGTCCATACATAGGACAAGACGTTTGAGGATGTAACATAAGAATGGAATCTTTGATGATTTTTAAATAGTTAAATATAAGTTCAAAGAAAAGAATTCACAAAAGTTAAACAAGAAAGGATGGCTAGCAAAAATTACACATATAGCAGAAAAAAATGTTAAAGACATCAAAAAGTTCTTTTCAATGGCTGAGAAAATATGGTTCTGACAAGAGGCTTAAAAGATCGACAGGTATCTTGTTTCTTTAAAAAGCAGTAATTGTTTAAAGTCAAAGAAAGTGCATATAAAATACCAATAATGACCTTTTGCTGTGAAACAGTACGTTAAAGTGGTAGACATATATGCTTGTTCAAAGCAAAGGAAAAGAAAAAAAATGGAGAGATTGAGGATGAATCGTCTATTTTTATGCTTCGTAGACATTCATCAGACAGTACATAGGTGAATATTAAGACTTTCAACCTCAAGATCATGAAATATATGCATGTGCAAATATATTAATGTCAAACATATCTAAATTACATGAATGGAACAACATTGTGCACAGGTGCTATTGTACGAATGCAGAATCGACATATACACTGAAATAGGAAGTCTCATATTTACCATTCAATTGAAGTACGGGTTAATTTTTCCCATCTAGATCAGTAGCACAGATGATATTGACATTTAAGCATTGAATCATTTATCTTTGAAAGATGTAGTCCCATAACTGCAACGGTGCGTTCAAACAAATTGAGTATATATCGTGCGTTAGGTTTGTATTACAAAGTTAACTTCTGGACAGACTAGTGTTAACGTAGCTAATATAATAAATATTTAACAGCAAGGAAATAGTGTGTATATTGTTGACAAATATTGATTGCAAGCATTTATTTATACTCCAAATAATTATATGGATCTGATATTTTTTAGTGACACGGGTATGTATTGCTTTAAATATTTAAATCCACTGAATATTATTTCCTTTATTTCTTATAAAAACATAAACAACACTAAGCAAGCCACCTGCATAGATTTCTTAAGCAAAGGCTGTTCCATCAATTATGCATACAACGACATACACATCTATAATACAATATTTAACACACACACACACACCCTCACACACACACACATACCCTCACACACACACACACACACACACACACACAGATATATATATATATATATATATATATATATATATATATATATATATATATATATATATATATATATATATATATATATATAAACAATAAAATGTCTTTGGTTGTAGTGCGGGAATTAACGTCGCAGCTATTGCAGAGAAAATTCACATAACCCGCTTACGCGGGTTCTGTATTTTTTTCTGCAACAGCTGCGACATTAATTGCCGTACTACAACCAAAGAAAGCATTTTATTGTTTAATTATCTTTTAGATTGACTTAATGAGGAGTGGCACGTGTAAGTACTGCAGTAGGTCTTTCATCCCATAGAATAAAGACCCAATATTATGAAATCAAATTATGTATATCAAGTTTTTTTTTTTTTTTTTTTTTTTTTTGGTTTCATTGCGTTTTATTATTACTTTAAATTAAGAGGTATTGCTTAAGAGTATTTTGTTTCTCTATCGTTGATATTTTTATTTGGTGGGGCAACCAAATTTGACATACATGTTCCTTATTCAGTACCTGAGTAGGAAATACCGGTGGTATTCAAGTTTCAGCTTTTCAGCCATTTTCAAAATGGCTGCCATTATTGCATATTTAGAATTTTGATTTTTTTTTCTCAGACATTTTTCAAATCGTTGAAATAGTCGATCAAAATTTGGTCAAACAAAAGATTCAAGTGTTATTTCACATATGTTTGCAGTGAGGGTGCGGCAATTTAGAGATTTTTGTTGTTTTATGTAACGTTGCAGTTCCTCCATTCTTGGTCATGACTTTAATTAACTTTTTAACTTTACTCATTTCGAATATACCTTTGACCCCGTTTTTTCTTGTTTAATCTTGTATCTCATGTCTGCTTGAGTGTGAAATAGAATTTTGCGAAGTCTAGGATATATTCTCTAACGTACATGGGACTGAATTCCTCTAGCACTTGATTAAAGGGTTGTCTTGTTAGCCAGTTGACAAGTATCAGGAATAGTGTTGGCAAAGTCTAGGCAGTATATTCTTTTCTGTAAAGGGTTTTGAATTCCTCTTGCACTTTTGTAAAGTTACCTAGTAGACAATTATCAGGAATAATGTTGGTGATAAGAGACAGCCATGTTTAACCCTAGCTTTTAAAAATAAACGATTTTATCAGACGGAGTTCTCTTATGAACTTTTTTGAAACTTTGACTTCGTACAATGTCTTCATCACGTTGTCGATCCAACGTAACTGGGATTCCATAATATCTAAACAGTTTCCAAAAAAGCTTTCTCCATTGATGATTTCAAATGCTTTTTTTTTCAAAATCATTGAAGTTTATGTAGCGTGATTATTGTAATTCCTCATGTTAATTGCTCTTAAAAGAACGCGTAGTGCAGTGTTTGGTCTCTGCAGATTCTGATCGATCTAAACCTGTTTTGTTCATTTCTTAATATTTTGCCTCTTTTATATTATGTATTTCACATAACATGAATTAGAACATTGCATACTACAAGAACAATTTGATGCCTCGCCATTTTTTGCCGAGATTAGGATCATAGTTTGACAATCAGTCCCCTCTTCCACTAACAAGAGATTCTCTCTGTTTCTCATGGATTATTTAACAGTAGATTTCCCTTTTTCTTGTCATCAAGTCCTCACTGCCTCAGCTCATTTATTATTTCTTCAATCCCTGCAGTTTTCCATATTAAAAAAGATTTATCTTAAGTAGCTGTTGTCACTTCCTTCACGCTTAATTCTTCCATATATTTTATATTCAGGTCTTTCCCTAGTTGATTGTTATTTGGTCCATCTGTTAATTGTTTTTCTAGATCTAGCTTAAGCAACACTTTTCTTTTTGACCGGCTTTTACCTGTCCTTCTCTATCTCAGAGTTTTATGATGCTTAATGAGTCCTCAAATCTCTTCTGTGGGCTGCCAGCTCAATTTCCTGAGGAAGACTCATATATAAAGTCTTTTTCTCGCCTGCAGTTATGATGGACCTCTTTTTCTAGCTCCTGATATTAAGTTTGAAGCTTACTTCTTTGCAATCTTGTCATGTCCCGTAATCGAAGATTAGGGTACATATAGTTTTTGTCCTGCCCGTCTTTTTGTCTTTTTTTCTGCAAAGATTTTAACATTTGATTGGTTGGAGCAATGGCTTTCATATTTCACATGAGTATTCCTTGTGAAAGACCTTTCTTTGGATATCATCATATTTGACATTCCGACCTTGATCTTGTATTTTGACCCATTTTTGCAACATTTTTCCAAACTTTAACCTTGGCCATAACTTTTAAACGGTTGGTGCTAGGGCTTTGTTAATTCACATGAGTATTCTTTGTGGAAGACCTTTCTTTGGATATCACCATATTTGATCTTCTGACCTTGACCTTTGATTTTATTTCACTTTTGAAAAAAAAAAAAAAAAAAAAAAAAAAAAAAAAAAAAAAAAAACTCTAACCTTGCCCATAACATTTGTTTGGTTAAAGCAACGGCTTTTAATATTTTCACATGCGTATTCCTTGTGACAAGACCTTTCTTTGGATATTATCTTATTTGACCTTTTGAACTTGACCCTGGATTTGTACTCACTTTTGCAACATTTTTCTAAACTTTATCCTTGTTCATAACATTTGAATGGTTGTCCCTGTGACAAGACCTTTGTTTTGGTACCAACATTTTTCCACTCTTGACCTTGGAGTTTGAATTGCATTTGAGAAACTTTAACCTTCGCCACGGGCTGTCATACGGGGGCATCAATGTTTCACAAACACATCTTGCTTTTGTATCCTGGAGTTCTTTATTTTTCTCTCTCTTAGCTTTCTGCCAATGTTTTAGTGACACCAATTCTTTAATTTATTTATTATCCTTTTGCTAGGATTCTTTAGCTATGCTTTTGAAAATGTCTTTACCTGTATTTCATTTGTTTATGGAGGTCTTTTGTGGTATCTAGACTTTGAATTCGATTCTCTTATTGGATTTTTTCCCTGTTTTTTTAACATTGTACTCAATGCGGTTATGTCCCTTCCGGAATTTGTTACTCTTATTTTCAACTTATTTTGCCAAGTAGTGGTTTAAGTTTATGTATGCTCCTCCTTTTATTCATACGTAACTAAGGTCAAGGCTTTTGCATCTCTGACGTATCATGACATAATCGGTCTTGATTTCATTATTCATCTGGCATCTCCCACGTTCTACTTTATAGATACATGTTTTCATATGTGGGAATACGGAACCTCCGATAACAAGGGCATTTATTGGAAGAAATTCAACCATAGTTTCTTTTGCATTTACGTAACTAAATGCATTTTGTAGGTGCAGATTTATGTTTGAGTTATAGCTAGTATTTTCTGAATATATGTTAAGGTTATGTTTCTCATAGAAAATTACAATTTAAAATTAAGTCAAAATTATGCAATTGACGAATCCGATGTGATGAAAGGAATTAGGAATAAATTCTTAAAAGATGAAAATGATACAAATATAACAAACTTGAATTAATCCCGCATTTATCGCCAGAGAGAGAGAGAGAGAGAGAGAGAGAGAGAGATATCATCTGCAACAAACTTTACTCTGTTTCTTAGAAAAGTTAATGTGGTCTGTATGAAAGGACAAAAGAAATTTCTAACTTGAATTCTTCAACATCAGAATATAGACTCCAATCTGTGATTGTGGGTGCTGACAATCATAGGCTTTTTAAGCTGCCACTTTTTATGGAAGAAACTAGTTCATTTCAGTTGTATGCAGTACTTTTCACGCCAAAGTATAGCGAGGTGGATTGAATTCATGTCAAAAACTATACTTTAAATCCATTTTCTTTAAAGAGGTATACTCTTAGTCGTACAGTCCATTTCATTGTCTGGCGTTGAACATTTTGATTGTGTAACAGATGGCGATTGCGAAAGTTACATTTTCAAATCTTCCAAGTTGATTTTCCGAAAACGAAAATGATGAATATTTATTAGCAATAGCCATGTGATTATTAATTCATTGATGAAGTACACATCATTACTCCAAATGTTTTGACTAAAAGAGTTGCACACGAAAATACATGAGATCATTTTATATTTGCCAAGTGCTGTAATTTTCAACGTATCCTCTCAAAGTGACACTTTCCTGTCCGTGATAAAAATTAATGTATTTATACCATCAAATGATTTTAAACTGCAGTTTAATCAGGAAATGTTTATTACGCGACACTTGTGAAACTTCCGTCCTGGGTGTTTTACTGTGTTATTATTTCAGATAATTTGATTTTTTTTATTCCATCCAGTAGACCAATACCAGAGCTTTTGTGCGTCATCGTCCGTCATTCATCGTGTGCTGTAAGTATCTGGAAAGCAATAGAATATTTCAGCTAATTCTCTGTAATGGTTAGATTGCATTTTAGCCAGCTTTTTGATGTTGCGTCAATGAATAAGGGCAAAACTTATTTTATGCAAGCAGAGTACAAGTGCAATACTAAAAAAAAGGTTTTTGTATAGGTTTCCTTTCCACCATTCAGACCATCGTGATCTGCAAATTGAAAAATTCAGAAATCTTTTCCGACATCGATTTAAACCTTGTGACGGTACATGTTGTCGTTTTGTACATATTGTAGTTGGCGACAATATGTACCTACCCTCAATGCATACATTGTCGTCCATCGGTACATATTGTCGCCGGCTGAAAAGTTACACATGTACATTCTCTCGCTGGCGTCATTACGTGCCTCACCTCACTGTACATATTGTCGCCCAACAGATATTGCTGCTTAAAGATGTCTTTTGTTGTTTTTGGTGGTATTTTGAATGTAATTGGTGTGTGAATCACACTGACGTGTTTCGTATGCTACTTTATGCAGCGTGATTGTGACGGTACATTTTGTCGTCCTGTTCATATTGTCGCTGGTGACAATGTGTACCTACCCTCACTGCGTATATTGTCGTCCATCAGAACATGTACATGTCGCATGACAATGCATGACAATGCTCCATATAAATATGACTAATCATTACTTTGCAGTTTTTGAGAAGATAATTTGTAAAGAATTTTCCCATATATCCCTATGTAAAACTTTGATCGCCAATTGTGGCCCCACCCTAGGTCCGGTTTTATTTGAAGATACTTGAATACTTGAAGATTATTTTTATGTAAAGGTGTGTTACTTTATATGTTAAAGCGACAGTACGGCTGCAAAATGTGTGCTTTTTCTTCCAAATTTACCCAATATGTCATTAAGAAATAAGGTATAAAGTTGATGTAAGAAGTTTGAGAAACAAAAATATTCTCTACTCAAACAAAATTAACGTAATTAGAATCTGCCGGAAAATCAAGGGTCGTACGAACTGGAGCAATCTTAGATCTGTTTATTTTGTACCACGTGAATTCTAAAACGACACGTGCCTACACTGTAAAGTTTACATTTATAATGAATATTAGATGAAAGCAATTTTCAAAAACACAAATTATCATGACTTTCTTATAAAATAATCTTAAATAATAATCGTAAAGATTTTAGTCTGCATTCAGGCGAATTTAACAGAATTAAAAGTCAAATGTTTAGGTTTTGTGTATTGGGTCAAAGAAAGGAAAAACCAACTAATCATACGTTATCGCGGCAAATGTCAAAAAAAATATTTTTCTGCACAATTAAAAAAATTAGCATTTCAAATGGCAACAATGTTTATAAGTCAAAGATGTATTTTTTATGTTGAGTTTACACTATTTTTTTTTTCTTTGAAAGTGACGGAAAAATGAGAAATGATAACAAGTATCAACAAACCTGTCGAATAGAACCTTCGAGAGCCCTGCTTGAGTGTCGCCGAGTTCCCGTTTCCTCTTTATCCAGCGATTATATTAATCCCCAAACTAAATTTTAGTCAGGAAAGTTGCTTTTTCAAGTTCTATTTTCAGTTTCTTTTTCTTTTTGGTCGACTTTGTCAATGTAGCAGGCCTTCCGGGATTCCCTCTCTAACCATGCTGTTTTGTTTTTGAAAACTATGCATGCGTGAATAGCATGGAATGTGGAACCCTGAATTCGTTGCGATGTATATATTTACGTCCCATAAATAACTATTAATTTTAATGAAATAATCCAAATTATTTAATTCTAAAAATTGTAATTTTCTGAAAGTTTATACATTTATGAGTAGTAAAAAAAATTCCAAATCTTGCCGGAAAATTTTATCTAGTCAGTTTTTTTTAATGAGATGCACTTTAAATAAAATTATTTGATTTTGAAATTTTACCTGTGGACTTAATTGAAAGTATATGTTAGTCAAACAAAAAGAATTTACCAAAGCAAAAAAAAAAAAAAAAAAAAAAAAAAAAAAAAAAATCAAACACCGAGGGAAGTTTTATCAAAGGTATTTTTTCTGCAGTAATATTAAATTTTTCGCTCAGCAACAGGGGATCTAGAAAAACTTTCTGCTTAATTCTAATGAGAGCCAGCTCTTTACGGACACTGTGAAATCTATGATTCTTGGATGCAAGGTTGAATTCAATTTTTCAAGTACTTTCTATGTCTAGCATCCACCCAAAATAACAAACCTATCTTTTACGGAAATCAACTAAAACACACGATAATATTGATAAAGGTTATTATTGAGGAATTTTCTTAAAGTTTGGAAAAAAAACAATGCAAACAAAAAACAAAAACAAAAACAAAAACATAAAACAAAAAACAAAACCAAAAAAAAAAAAAAAAAAAAAGAAAGAAAGAAAGAACAAAAAAAAAAAAATTAAACAAAACAAAAACAAAACAAAAAACAAACAGCATCGATTCAAAGTCCCATCTTAGACACAAAACCTTAAAATGATATAAAATAAGAATGATATGTCGATCTCATGAGATTTAAAAGCGAAAAGTCTGGATCTATTTTGTATGTGTGTTATTCTTTTTATTTTCATAACTCAAATCAATCCGTCTTCGGACGCTAATCATAAAACAAGACCAATAAAAAAAAAAAATGGAATGGCATAATATATCTTTGAAAATATCGTTCTTTTATCCTGAACACTTATTATAAATGAAAAAAAAAAGAATCTTTAAAATCTAAAATAATACAGTGACTTAAATATGGATTTGCAGACTGGGTAAACCATTAAAAAAAATAAAAATCTTTTCATTTTCTTTTGACATAAGCAAATGTGATTTCCCAAGAAATAATTCAGGAAAGATTGTGCACCTTTATTAGCCTACCTGTTTTTATACTCCTATGAAGCAGAATGTACTCAGATTTTTTTTTTTATATAGAAGAAGAAAACGGTGGACTTCAATTCGATATTTAGCTTCGCACTCGTGAAAACATCGAAAAATCCTGTCCCACTCGTGAAATAAATTCCATATTCATCTACAAGACATTGAATATCCTCTATATAGCTAATATTATAAAGTTCTCCTTACTGTCTTTTTTTTATTGTACTTGATGGGTTTTGCATTATGTATTATGATACCGACATTTATTCTTATTATCATATTTCAAAGATAAAATCAAATATATTTTTTTTCTTCTCCTCTTTAGGTTGAAAAAATGAAGAAATAATAACAAATTTCATGTGTGATACAGAAAAGGACTTGAAAAATCATGGTACGTCTTTTCTTATTGTTGAACAATTAAGTTTTCTAGAAAAAAATGATTCAGTACAATTGTATACGTAGACGGAGTTAATTTAAAAGTGTTTGCATCTTTGTTTTAGGCAATACCTGATCCAATTCATTGGAGATCCAGAGATATATCCCTTAAATATGATGTTTCTTATCTACGTCCTGCAGAGGTCGCTGAAAATCAAACAGAGAAAAACAAGCGCTCAAAATCGGACTCAGATATTGATACACAAACCACCGATGAATTTAAAGCTGCTGTATTTCATTCTAAGACAAATACAAGTTCATATTTTTCTTTTGAAGATCTGATTAAAACCATAAAAGTTTTAGAAGAGAAGAAGGATGCACTGGCGATAAAGAACATCTTAAATGCTGCTTCTTCAAATGATATAAGAAAATTGTGTGAAAGTCTCTGTGTCGAGAAACCTAAAAATGATTTTATTTCCGACATTGTCTCGGAAACGATAGTAGAAAAATTCTGTAAAGGAAATGAGTCAAAGTTTACTATTGTAAATATTTGGACAGGATATCGATCTGTGGAGAAAAATTTCGAACAGTTAGAGCGACAGCAACTGTTTGCGCGATATAAACCCTTCAGAAGAAAAAGAGGAATTGATACACTCGTTGTAGTTGTGGAGCAAAATATACAAAGAAAAACGGGAAGTTTCTGTGGACTAGACCTTATTATTGTCTCAAAAGATGAATGCAATTCGGAAGCAGCCTCATTGCTCTCTTTTGAATTTTGTGATACAACAGATTCGAGTGTGATTCAGATCGACGATGAAACCATCGCATTATTGTTTAATCAACACAGTAATATAACATTGATTAATAAATCTAATGTTCGCTCAAAAGGGTATAAATCAGGCGCACCTCATGTGGAAAAGACACCAACTATTGTCATATATTGCCAAATAAAAGGGGTTGTACCTAGGGGAGAAGAGACATTCCCTGAAAAAATAAATGGATTCATTGTCGACGTTCGGGAAGGAACTTGCCGACTAGCTGTAAACCCACTTCGCCCAGGTGAAAAGATTACGGACGAAGTATTTAAAACAACTGGAACACTAGGGGGATTTGTTAATATCCAAAATCCAAGGAAGGTGGGATTTTTGACGTGCGCTCATGTTGTTTTACCACCCAAAATTTTACAAAATAATTCTGCTGAGGAATATGTTCGAAAGAAAGATGTAATCCTTATACATGATCGAGAAAAAAGACAAATAGGTAAAATAAATAAAATCATGTTCATTCACGATAAGCCAAATGAAGTTAGTATTGATGCGGCTCTGATAGAGATTACAGATCGACACCCATGTGATGGATATTTTGCAGACGTTTATTTAGAAAATCAACTTCATTGCGCTGGTAAGTGTATACATTTTACAAGCCTAAAGAAGAAAATTTCAGACAGAATATTGATATTAGTAAGGTATATAACCTTTTAATTTGGGGAAAATTTTTTTAATTGATGTACATGTATATGAACTTTATTTCTTCATTTTTCTTCCATATCTTCAGGGTTTTCCGACAGACAAATACTACACTTTTCAAATGGTCAATTAGATCAAATCAACATGTTTAATTTCCGGAAACAAGTTATCAAGGTGGGTGCTACAAGTGGTATTACACTTGGTTCATTAAGAATTGGAAGGAGTTGTGCTCAGATTATAAATGATTGCGAAGTTATACTGAATAAAATTTGTCCTATTCGATTGTTTGGACAACTGGAAGTCATTCCAAGAATAGATCCATCCCAACCATCTGATTCGAGTGAAGCTTTTCTCAGTGAAGGAGATTCTGGAGCTCTAGTTTTTGTTATTGCGAGAGAAAACCCAGTTATCTTAAAATGTATTGGGATAGCTGTTGCGAAAACATCATATGGGGCCTGCTTAATGACGCCAATAGACAAGGTGTTTGATGCTCTTGGTCTTTCGTATAATTGTTTTACAAAGTTTTCCACACCGAATTCTTACAAGGAAACGGATGAGGAAGGACTCCAGGATGTGCTTGCTTCAATAACACAAAAACTTACCGATATGCATTCAAATATGGCAACAAAGCAAGACATTTCAAATATGGCAACAAAGAAAGACATCCAAAATCTTAAACGTGATTTAGAAAGCTTTAATAGCAGACTTAACGAAGCAGAAGAGAGAATAAGAAAAGAGAGGAAAACAGGTAAAAATGAGGACAAGCAATAAATGTGTAATGATGTTTGTTTGTTTATTGTTTAACGTCCCTCGGAAGAATTTTTCACTCATATGGAGACGCCACCACTTGCCGGTGGAGAGCTACAAGTTTTGACCTTTACTAGGCACTCAGGGTCATTGAGCAGTGAGGGATCTTTTTCGTAGCAGCTTCTACTGCGACAAGGGATCTCGGTTTATACAGTCTCATCCGAAGGAATGGTCTCCACGTCCCACAGTTGGATTCGAACCCGCGACGTAAGGATCAACTCCTTACTCCGCGACTCTAGAGCAAACGCTCTAACCACTGCGCCACGCGGGCGACTAAATGAATACTAGCATCAAGTATGAAGAAAAATCGTAGATTATAAATTTTGCAAGTGAATGGATTGAATGTATTCACTTTCAGTGAATAACATTCAGGAAAAGATACAAATGTAGCCAAATCAATGCCTTTTCGATTTTTATATGAATAACTAAATTCGTTTAAGTCAGTTCCGTGAAGGAGAGTCCTTTGGACTTTTGGAAGATTTTTACATGTATGCTTTATGGATATTTTGTTTGAATATAAGGATGAAAAAAAAATCACATTGTATTCATGAATATACTTTTAAGCAATGAATATAAGTGAAGACATGCAAATTTCATCTTTTAGATCAGGAATAACAGGAAAAAAAATTGCAGAGAGAAAGATACTTTGTACATGTGCACTATGTACTCCAATTTCATTCATCATGCAGTAGTGCTAAATACTATAAATTTAATATGCCCTACTTGTTTAATGTCACATGAACATATATAATATAAGATATTTGTTTTATGCTACATATACATGTTAATGTAATATATTTGTATCATGCTACTTGAATATATATATATATATATATATATATATATATATATATATATATATATATATATATATATATATATATACGACTTGTTTAATCTTAAATGTACACAATTATGTAATATAAAATTTACTTGTTTAATGTCACAATTAATTTCGTTATGCCTTTAAAGTTGTGTCCTTCATAATTCTTTACTAAAAAAGTCTAACATTTCCAATTTCACTAAGAATGCATAAAAATTGATGAGCTTGACCGCAGAGTGAGATGTTGGACCTGATGAGATGGTGAGACGTCACAGGGTAGGCGAGATCAGGTATATCTTATTTGCATTCGTTGGAGTTCGATAGAACCGCAATGAGGGTAAACGAAAGTTACATCATGATATATCAAAATAAAAAGTAAAAGGTATAACAAAACATTTACTGACTGTGTTCTCGAGCAACATGCGTTTTGACGACCCTCGAATCAAACTGTTAGCCTGAGGCCTAATGGCCTCAGGCAAACAGTTTGGTTCTTGAGTCCGAAAAAACGCATATTGCCCTCGAACCCAGTCAATAAATGTATATCATTTACTTCTTAATGTAATAATTTATGGTGTTCCTGGTAGTTTGATTGCTACAATTAAAACATGACATTTAGCAAAAGACCTCCAATTTATTATGCAATTAGTATATTTTTTTTCTTTTGAAAGAAACTTTTTTATTATTATTCGTTTTACTTTTTATTTTATTTTTATTATTAAGGTCTTCCGTCTTCACGGAAGACCTTATAGTGATTCTACTGTTTCTTCTTTTTCTTATTATTTTTTGACCAAATTTTGTGCAGGCGTTTTCTCAAAAACTGTTCAGTGGTTTTCAGTGAAACTTTCAGGAAAAATGAGTCATTAAATGAACTTTGTTTATCACAAGGAAAATTTGGTAAATTCTCTTTTGGTTCCAAGTTATGGACTATTTCCTGATTTTTAAATGGACTTTTGTCGATGAATGTTCTAAAGAACGGCTAAAGATATGAACTGGAGACTTATTGGAGAAGATAGATCATGGCCTTTAGATTTGCAGAATCATCTTTGTTGTGCGTCGTCACCACTTCCGGTTGCTGCCGGAAGCGAATTCTGAAAAGGGCATTTTTTACTTTTTTTGTTTTTCAATTTTCTTTTTATGATTTTTGTAAATTTAAGAGAGACTCTTTTGTAAATGCTTAATATGCAATTTGTTTTAAAATTGATCAATCCAAACTATAGATATTAGCATTTAAAAATCTGAAGCGGGTCCAAAATGGCGGCTGTTTCCGACGAGCAGGTCGGCATTCGGAGCTCCTCGGGTGGCTCGTTCCTCGCACACTAACCTCGGATGTCAACGGTGTTCTACCATGTTGCTGATAAAGTCATGTGATCTTATTTGAAATTCCTCCAAATGTTATACCTTTGAAATCTGAGTTACTTTGAAGCACGCCCAACACTATGTTTTGCTTTCAAAGACTACTTACATGATGCTGTGATCAAAACCAATATACACGGAAGAATTAGACAACAGAAAAAAATGTTTGAAGAACTTTATGCTAAGTAAAATATGAAATGAGTTACAAGGCAGTTTCTGGGTGAGAAATGTAATCGATTTGATGCATATTTTCCACCAATCACTTCCGAGGTTTGTATGGAGAGTAGCTGAGTCGGTCGAAGATTGCCGATTGGTAGGTCGGAGTTTACTGAGAAAGCCGAGCGTCTTGTTGATCGAAACTACCACAAGGATCAATGAAATATGAAGGAATTGTTGTTGGATCTGGCAGATTATGAAATGGATAATCTGTTTTTAAAAACATAGATACTCTGACCTCCAAATGCAATAAAATGAGTAATTTTTACGGTACATACAAATATATATATGAGAATGGAAACCATTCAATAGAAAATACATATTAAAGAAAAGGCGCAAAGATTTACTCGTCACGATTGGCGCAAAATAATGTATCGTGACTCTTCTTTCATAGTAGAAAAATGGTCTGATGCAAAAGTGCAGAAAAAGATTACACGGACACATTTGTTTGAAATACAGGTATATGGAATTGCATGGAATAAAAATGTGAATACAAAAAGAATAAAAGAAGTAAACAGTATCATCAGTTCATCAGTAATCGATTTTTTTTATTGTTTAAACTCAAGTAACGAATTCCGATGTGAATCTGCTTGCACAAAATTTGGCTAGCTAGCTCTCATTCTATATTTCTGCACTATATAAAAGAACTTTTAACCTCACTGACGCTTGCTACTTCAGGCAATGATACAAAGTAAACATCGATGATGGCTGGTATAATAACACTGGTGTAGTGGCTTCCATATTGAATTTTCACGAAGGCGCTCGGGGTTTAATCCCGAATTTGTTCGCTTAAATTTACGTTTTAAACTTTATAAATGATGTTGAGTGGGGTTTTTTTTGTTAGAGATGATAGACCATGATTTCTAGATTGTCGAAGGGACCTTTTCATGCGTCGTCGTTAGTTCCGGTCGCTTGCAGAAGCGAATTAAAAAAATCGATTTTTTCATCTTCAATATTTTCTGTTATATCTGTAGGGTTAAGAGAGCCTCTTTTCAAAATACTAAATATATAATTTGTTTTCGAATTGATAAATCCAAACTCTTGATGTTCGTCATTTTCGCTTTGAAGCGGGAGTTAGACCTATGAAGCGGGAGTTGAAATGGCGTAATGGTTAACACGTTGGATTTTCACGCTGACGACCAGGGTTAAATCTCCAGAGTGTCTGAAATTTTTTTTTCACTTTTTCAGCTTGAATTTACATTTTTATTTTCAAAATGGGACGGAAGACCTCTCATTGCTCGCAATGAGTTTCTAGTTATTATTATTATTATTATTATTATCAATACATATATTTTATTTGTGCTTTCACATAGACATATTGTACATAGATTAGTTAACAATCAGTACATGTATACTTTCATTTCTACTATTTATATTACACATTTTCTTTCTAGTAACTATGTGTTGCATTTACAGCAGATATATTTCAAAATCAAACTGAAATTATAGATGACATGCTTTACATTTTTGTGAATTTTCACTGTAAAAGCTTTATATACAGAAATAAAAACGAACGGGGGGGGGGGGGGGGTATTAAGTATTTTAACATACTTTTACATTTGTATAAATAAATACATTATAACATCACAAATAGTTTTCCAGAATTTTTCATATTCTGAAAATTTACAATTTCTTAAAAGTAGCAGATGAGAATCGAAGTGAAAGTAAAGGTTTCACTTAATACCAGAAACGACATAAACACGCGTACTAAAAAAGAAATAAAGACAAATTCATTTTCTTTTTCTTTACGTTTGATACTAAAAGATAAGGTTAAATTCGTCAAGGAATGGAAATTCTCTTTTTAAAGCATTATAATTAGAGCTATAAGGGTCGTAGAAAGAACCCCAACGTTTGCCTCAACAAAATTGGATCGTGGTTTTTCTATTTGATGATGTTTAATAGTTAGTATTTTCCCAAGAAGTTAGCATTTCTGGTTTCATAATGTCCCCTTCCTCACTATTAATTGTTAACTCTACAGTTAAAATAAAATAATAAAAAAAATAAATTAAAAAAAATCAACTTACAATTAGTAATATTAAAGTTTTCCTAGTCTTTGTCAGCGATTCCCGTTAGAAAGTGCATTTAATTTGTCCTCTACAGTTTTGCTACTTATATTTTATTAAGGGGGGTTATTTGTTCATAGGAATGGGAATGCGTAGTTAGCTGTCCAATAAGAAATAAAATGTACACTGAACTTGATTTGTACTGCACAACTACTCGACTTTGATGAAATATATATCTTGTTTTCTGCACACTTGTTACCAAATGATGATGATGATGATTTTTTTTTTGTGGGGGGGGGGGGGGGGGCTGCGTCAATTACTGACTGCTTTTATGGATTAATTTTATCAGTCATTTGCAGTTAAATTTAAAGCATTATTTATTTCAGATTTAGTGGCTGATTCTTTGATTAAATTAAGGTTTAAACCTTAAATGTTTGTCAATAAAATGTAGGAACATGTTTAACTTTGTTTTCATCATATTTATCTATATATGTAATACATTTGCATACTCACTTCAGGTTGCCACTATTGTCTTTATTATTAAAGGACTCTTTACACACAAAGAGACA